CTTACTTACTTACTTACTTACTTACTTACTTACTTACTTACTTACTTACTTACTTACTTACTTACTTACTTACTTACTTACTTACTTACTTACTTACTTACTTACTTACTTACTTACTTACTTACTTACTTACTTACTTACTTACTTACTTACTTACTTACTTACTTACTTACTTACTTACTTACTTACTTACTTACTTACTTACTTACTTACTTACTTACTTACTTACTTACTTACTTACTTACTTACTTACTTACTTACTTACTTACTTACTTACTTACTTACTTACTTACTTACTTACTTACTTACTTACTTACTTACTTACTTACTTACTTACTTACTTACTTACTTACTTACTTACTTACTTACTTACTTACTTACTTACTTACTTACTTACTTACTTACTTACTTACTTACTTACTTACTTACTTACTTACTTACTTACTTACTTACTTACTTACTTACTTACTTACTTACTTACTTACTTACTTACTTACTTACTTACTTACTTACTTACTTACTTACTTACTTACTTACTTACTTACTTACTTACTTACTTACTTACTTACTTACTTACTTACTTACTTACTTACTTACTTACTTACTTACTTACTTAGACTCCAACCTACCCTATCTTAGACTTTCATTTTCAGTTCTACTGAATTGCCGTTTTATTCTTCTAAGGTCTGTTTTTATCCCTCAGTGTAATGTGTTCTTTGGTGTTCTACTTTTCCTTTGGTCTTGAAGGATCCAAGTTAAAGCTTTTATTGTAATGATGCAGTTGTGTGATTTCTTTAATGCTTCTTTTATTCACTTCAAGCATTGTTTTCCCATTTCGTTTTCAACTGGAATCTAGTTTAATCTCTCCTGCAGTAAGTTGTTATTGATGGTTTCCTGTCAAGGGATGTAGAATATTTTATGTAGACTACTGGTTTTAATTATCTGCATCTTTTGCCTTCCAATTTCTCCAAGCTTCAACTTCATACAATAGAATGATTTTAACGGTTATGATGAGAATTATAACTTTGGTATTAGGTGGCAATTGTTTCAAGTTCCAGATGTTCTTCACCTGTAGACGTTCTGACCTCATCTTGATTCTCCATGTCCTTCCATCTTCATCAATTCCACCTTGTTTATCAATAATGGTGCCCAGATTTGTAAAGGTTTATACATCTTCCAAAGTACAGTCATCGAGTATGATTTAGTTGGTACATGTTGTACTGTATGTATGTTGAAACCTATTGCTTCCAAGACTGCTGCCACTCTGGTAGTCTTCTCTTGCATTTATTATTATGTATGCGATAGAAGGACTAGATTATCTGCGAAGTCCAAATCATCCAGCTGTATTTAAGCTATCCAATGTGTTTCATGCTTCTCCTGAGATGCTGACGTCTTTATTAATCCAGTCAACTACTAGAAGAGAAGGGGTGAGATGAAACAAACTTATCTGACAATGGTCTTTATTTCTTTTAGTAAACTAACCAAATATTTATCAATACAGTTGCTACATTGGGTCATATTAGAATTCTCATATTAAAATATTCAAGATAATTTTATTCACCAGAATAAATCTCTACTTTAAAAATAATCATCACATTTAATGAAGTCTGTACACTGATGAATTTCTAAATCTCAGTTAAAAGTTCAAATAAAAAAAGGAAAAGATTTTCATTGGTCAATTTAAGATGATGTATTCTGAAAGTTGTTTCTTTATTCATAAAAATAATTTGTCGATCAGAGTTAAATAGATGATGATTACGATTAATTTATACTGAAACAATACCGTCCGTAACCGGGATAGAACCAATCATCAATCCGATGTAGAATCATTGATTGGTTTTTTGCCAATGAAAATAACTCTCCAAGTTCTAACTGAAAAGTCTCGACCAGTAGAGTTCAAACCTATCAGATATAAAACAGAGTCACCCACCAAACGGAGTTGATGAAATTGCGCAAAATCGTGGATGACTGACTACTCAGGGGTTTAGCACTAAAGCATTTGCACATGACACCGAAGGTCTCTAGTTCAGTTTTGGGGGTGCGGAAGTCGTGGATCAACATTGCCATTGACGATTCCCATATAAGGAGGAAACAGCTATTGAATACTTCGAGGTTTTCAATTGTGGTCTGACAATGATTGATTCACGATTGCAATAAATACTCATCAAAATAAATATTTAGTAGTAATCAGATTAAATTTTATGAGGGCTGATAGTTTAGAAAATGTTTACGTTTCATGTGAAAGCTATTATAAATAAGTAACATTGATTATTTCTCCTCAGTTGACGGATTTCAAAAAACTTATCATCAATTAAACGCTAAATGTCCACAACGAACATTTGTAAGTGGTCATTTTCATTGACAGCTATACTTTAATGCTAAGGAAAGAAATTTTTTGACAAAATCAAATTCATACGTTAGACTTGAAATTCATGTCACTTACTAACTTGCTTACTTACGTCTTTTACCCTGAATAGAGCATAGACCACCCGACCAGCATTCTGTAATCTACTCTGTCTTGGGCCTTTCTTTCTAGTTCTGTCCAATCGGCGTGCATTCTTCTTATGTCTTTCTCTCGTTCTCGGCGTAATATATTTCTTGACCTCGTTATTTTCCTTTGACTATGGGGATCCCAAGTGAGGGCTTGTCTTGTGACTCAATTGGGTGCTTCCCTCAATGTGTGTCCTATCCACTTCCAGTGCTTCGTCCTGATTTCCTCCTCCACTTGAATCTGGATTGTTCTGCCCCACAGTAAATTATTTCTGATGGTGTCTATCCAAAGGATCCGAAGTAGACAACTATTAATAAATACTTGTACCTTGTGGATGATGGGTTAGGGTAGTTCTTCAAGTTTCTATGCCATTCAATAGAACTGTGTTGAGCATTCTGTCTGTCCTAGGCCTTCCTTTCTAGTTCTATCCAAATGTTTTTCGGACGTTCGTGTGGTCGATCCTTTAATGTAAGTTATGTTATGTATACTAATGAGAAGTAAACTATTTGTTCAACGTTCTCTTCAGTCTAAATGATTGCACTAATCAAAATACACCTTGAACGATATCACTTACACATCAAAAATAAAATAATCTCTGAAGATAAAGCAAAATAACACTGATCACTAATCTGTTTATAAACAATTTCTTTTAGTTATTTATCAATTCAAAGTCATCTCTGTTGTATCATTGTCCTTTCTACAGTTTCATTTTGTTGTTGTTTTTTCGATGATTTGAACAATTTTCAAGGCTAATGAACAAAAATGACATAAAAATCATCAATCAATCATTGTTAGACTACCCCCATTAGAAACCTGGTAGCACTGAACAATCGTTTCGTCCTCGTATGGGACTCATCAATGGCAGTGCATATCCACGAACTTGGTACATTCAGTCTTGCATATGAACGCCTAACCTCTGGACCACTTAGCTGATCGGCATCCAACAGTGTTAATGTCTAACTCTGATCAATGTAGAGGTTTTGCACGACCTCAACAACTTGTGATCGATACTCACTGACCACATCCGACAGGAGTAAAACAGCCGCGCATTGCTTCCAAGTTTCTAATGGTGGTCTAATAATGATTGAGTGATGATTTCAAATGTGTAAAAACATTCATCTGCATAACTCTTATTGAAAAAAATAAGGCATCTTTGACAAGACTTCCTGTTTTTTTTAAAAAACAGTGTTAAACACCATTAGAAACCTGGTTCTTTCGGTTCTTCCTAATATTAAGTCTCGTCGGCAGTGAGCATTCACGACACCCTCACACACCAGAATCGAACCCATAATCTTCGGTCTCGGTTTTAACAATTAAAATGTTTACCTAAGTTCATAAATCTAATATGTAGATCGTTGAACACCATATTTTAAAAAAAATATTGAACTCAGCACTTGATCAATATTAAAGTAGTAAATATTGAAAAGGGAAATTTGAAATTTTTGATACACGTTCCAAAATTTTATCAAATTGACAATGAACTTCAAAAATAGATTTATTTAGATAAATCAAACAATATTTAGTCACCTAGTAAATTTGAAAATAGATGTTACATGTACAGTTTTTGAACTTGTCTTCTCATCGTCCATAATGATATCAATTCACAAATTAATTGTAAACTATTTACTACCCTAGTAAATGATTAGGTAAACAAAGTGTTGTGAAGATGATTTACTCCACAAAACTGACATTATCTAGAGTTGTAACTAGAAATTATTGAGATTATAAAAATATGTGATAGGCATCAAAACTTTCCAATAATCTTCAGTTTTTATTAGTTTGATTGAGTAGTATAATTTGAAATCATCAATCAATGTTAGTTAGACCACCATTAGAAACTTGCAAGCACTGGACGGCCGTTTCGTCCTGGTATGGGACTCATCAGCAGTGCGCATCCACGACTCCTGATGATTTCAAATGTGTAAAAACACAAACCTCCAAAACTCTGCCCCAAAATATGAGTAGTATAACTCAACTCCAAATGAAATCTTGAAATCTTCATATATAGAATTATGAAAATTGTGTAAATTTTGATTGATATAATGAATTGATCAGTGTGTGTAATAGTGGTCTAACAATTCTTTTAATTCTATCATGAAAATCATAATAATGTGTTCACTGGTGACAAGCTTCCGGAGGATATTCTCCGAGTTCTAGTGAGAAGCTATGACCAGCGTTCATTCCTGTAGAGTGTGAGACAGTCGTCATTCATCGAAGACAATAGGTGAAGTCGTACAGTACCTTGGACTGATTAGACATAAACACCGTTGGATACTGACTCAGTGGTGTAGAGTTTAAGCGTTTGTACGCAAGAGTGAATGTCCTGGGTTCGATTCTGAGGTACGACGGACGTCCAGTACATCAATGTTTCACTAAATTTGAAATTTGTACAAATTTCATAACCACAAATGAAATGATTTTCTGCTGTACATTATTTTTTTTCTGTATAACAGGCTTCAATTATTATTCATAAAGATAGATAATAACAATTATTCATTACTAATGTATCATGGCAACAACAATGAGTTTATCGAATTTATCCACAAATATCGATTTATCTTCATCAGCATCCTCATCCTCCTCAAACTCCTCCTCGTCCTCCTCTTCATCATCATCATTGCACGGACATGATGTCATCATGCAGCAGCATACAGAGAATGCCTCATCATTGTTACTAGATCAATCCGACGCACCACAGTTATTCAACCAGTTAAGATCTATTTCTTATCCGACCACAATACGTGATCCTAATGAATTATGTACAAATTTAAATATGATTGATAGACATTTGACAAATTCTAATTTCTCATCATTTATTCAACAACACCAGCATCAGCAGCAGCAGCAACAACATTCACACTATTCATCGATATCGAATCAATTAACACCAAATACACCATCAAATTATTTTACACAATCTAATGCCAACTTATCTACCACAGATTGTGTATTAATGTTACAACAACATCAACAACCTCAACAATCTCCATCTCAACATCAACAATCTCAAAAACATTTAGATTTAAAACGTGATCATTATGGTATGTTGACTATGTCAACAGATGCAACCAATCAATTTGGTCTTGTACGTTCATGGATAGCTCAACAGCACCAACAACATCAACATCAGCAACACCAACAACAGACAGGTGGTCTTCATTATTTGCAATATTATCCACAGCATAATTCACCTGAATGTTCCAATACATCAACGGATCAATCGACATTTCTTGGGAATACATCAATACATCAATTACAGAATTGTTTTGGGAATTCACAAGTACAAAATAGTAATAATAATAATAACAGTAATAATAATAATTCTAGTTTTAATCATAATTTATCAATTTCACCGAATTCTCTGATGAATAGTCAAAATACAACTAGTAATAGTAATAATAATAATAATAGTAATAATAATAATAATAATAGTACAAATAAAACTACTCGTAATGGTCCAATAGTTTCTGCATATTCTGCAGTTGCTGCTGTACATCAATTAACTCAAATGAATAATCATATGGTTAACACAATGAATGGAAACAATAATAATAATAATAATAATAATAATAATCCCGCCGGTTGTCTAGGTGACAATACAACAACCAGTTCAATGATCAATAATCATGTTCCGTTCAATAATAATAATAGCAATAATAGTAATAATAATAGAGGATTATCATCAAATTCTACAAGGTAAACATTTTTGATTAATCAATGATTAATAAACGGTATTCTATGTTGTTTTGTGTTTTTGAAAAATTTTCTGCTTCTTTTAAAGAATTTCACAATGGAATTACATGTGTCCACTAGTGACTAGCTTGGTGAGGAATCTTCTCCGAGTTCTAGTGGGAAGTCGTGACCAGTGAAATTCAAACCTGTTCGGATGTATACAGTGTATGAGGTTGCGCAACTCCGTGAATTTGATCAAGTTAGACATTAACACCGTTAGATACCGGCTCGGTGGTCTAACGGTTAGGGCGTTCGCGCACAATACCGAAGGTCTTGGGTTCGAATCCTGTGGGGTGCAGGAGTCGTGGATGCACACTGCCACTGATGAGTCCCATACCAGTGCTTCCAGGTTTCTAATGTTTGTCTAACATTGATCGATTCATGGTTACAAATAAAACTTAACAATCTTCACAACAACCCCGCAATACAATTAGTTGTAATATCAACGAATTGAACATGTAATCCATGTGAAACTAAGCAACCGAGTAATACATGTTCATTCGAATTGTTACTTTTGGCTACTTCTATTAAACTAAGTGTTTGAATTAGTTTTCAATTCAGTACACTTGAATGACAGTGGTTAACTGATTAATTTTATATTATATCGCCACAATTCAAACATCTAACTGGTGATACTATCATTTAGACGCTTACTCATGTAAGACGGTGGATTGAATAAAGTTAAACATTGACAGCGTCGGATTCCGACTCAGTGCTCTAAAGTGACCGATAGTACTAGGTTTGATGTGCACTGCTGATGTGATTCATACTAGGATGAAACGACCATCCGGTGCTTCCAGACGTTCTAACGATGATCGATTCTTAATTGCAAATAGATTAATTGATTTTTGAAAAGGGATCAATAACATGTTAACGTAATATGGTTTCAAAAATGTATAAATGATACCGGCTCAGTGGTCCGATGGTTAGGCATTCGCGCACAATACCGAAGGTTTTGGGTTCGAATTCTGCAGGGTGCAGGAGTCGTGGATGCGCACTGCCACTGATGAGTCCCATACCAGGATGAAACGGCCGTCCCATGCTTCCAGGTTTCTAATGGTGGTCTAACAATGATTGGTTTCATGATTTCAAAAATGTGTAACTTAACAATCTTGATTACAATAGATTGCATTAGTTATCTGACTATGTGACTAGTAGAGTTCATCACTGTCGGATATAGGCAATAACTACCGAAGACAGTGGGTGAAGTTACACAAAATCCTTAGATTGATCAGAGTTAGACAATGACACCGTTGGATGTCAACTCAGTGGTCTAGAGAGACCGGAGGTCCTAGGTTTGAATTCCGCGTACGGGGGATCATGGATGACTAATGATGATGAGTCCCCTACTAGTGTAGTGAAGGAGAACACTGGTGAGGGCAACCGAATTATATTTAACGCAAATTACGGAGTTACTCAGTAAAATAGGAAAACCATATCGTAAACGGTTAATTTGCAAATCTTCAATCCATCATCAATCAATTGTCTGACATTTCACCACTGTTCATGCGTTTCATACAAATTCCATTGTGTTCTATCTCTCCCTTTCTTGATGTTCCCCCATCTGCTGCCAGACATACTACTTATAAGTAGCGCGCACCACACTAGGACCAGATGGCCGTCTAATGTGCTTCGAGATTTCTAATGGTCGTCTATAAAATCATTCTATTCATTTCTGATTTCGAATACACGTCATATTAAGTAGAACAATTTCGGAATATATATTTGTATAAGTATATAATTTATTCAGTTTCTGTGTGATAATATGTAAGGTGAAAACAGCTTTTTTTCTTTTGATACAAAAGAAAATATATTTCCTACAGTAATCATTATCTCGCATTATAATATAAAATTATATAGATGAACCAACTTCCGGATTAGAGTATTTTATTAAAATATCATAGATTCCAGTCATTTCACCTGTCTAAACGGTGTGATTTTTACTTTTAAGTAGGTAGAGAATTTTTTTAAAAGAAATAAAAACGGTAATTAAATTCTGACAGATTACGTCATCCAAAATGAATAGTGAACTTGTTTCATTCATTCATTCATTCATTCAGTCAGTCAGTCAGTGAGTAGGACATTCACTTTCCCTTCCATCTCTCTCTATCTCTCTCTCACTGTCAGTGAATATTCAATCGCTATAATGTACAAAAATGTTATTGATGATAGATAGATAGATACCAGTTATCATTAAATAAAAAAATTCAATCTTTTCTCTTGCCTAAACTAATTATTATCATCAAGTTCTTTATTGTTTTAGAAATAAGAATTATGCATAACCTATCATTAACATATTGCTTTACTCTATAATTTTTCTTGTTAAATTGAGGATTAAAATTGCGATGATAGGAGTATAAATGTATCTGCATATAAATATAGCATAACAGTGTTTTTTTCGTCATCCTCTAATCAAATCTTTTGAAATGTGATCATTGGTACTTTCATTATAGCATTATGGAGTTGTGAAGATTGTTAAGTTACATATTTTTGAAATCATGAAAATCGATCAATGTTAGACTACCAGTAGAAACCTGGAAGCATTGAAAGACGGCCGTTTCGTCCTGGTATGGGACTACGCATCAGCGGAAGTGCGCATCCACAACTTCTGCACCTCGCAGGATTCGAACCAAGGGCCTTCGGTCTTGTGCGTGAACGCCTAAACTCTAGACCACTAAGACGGTATCTAACGGTGTTGATGTCTAACTTCGATTAATTCACGGAGTTGCACAACCTCATACACAGTCTTCGGTAGACACTGCCTACACCCGAATAGGTTGAACTTCACCGGTCATTACTTTCCACTAGAACTCGGAGAAGAATCCTCACGAAGCTAGTCACTAGTGAGCATAGGTAATTTGCATTACGAGGTTGTGAAGACTGTTAGGTTACATATTTTTGAAACCATGAATCGATCAATGTTAGACTACCATTAGAAACCTGGAAGCACTGAAAGACGGCCGTTTCGTCTTGGTATGGGACTCATCCGTGGTAGTGCGCACCAGTGTGCACCACGCAGGATTCGAACCAAGGACCATCGGTCTTCTGCACGAACGCCTAACCTCTGGACCACTGAGACGGTATCTAACGGTGTTAATGTCTAACTTCGATTAATTGACGGTCTTGTGAAACCACATACACTACATTCGGTAGTTATTGTCTACACCCGAACAAGTTAAACTTCACCGGTGTTGGGGACGTTCGTTCCCTAGAACTCGCTTGATAAATGCCTTAATTTGGATTTTATGTCTACGAGCATAGGCTAATCAGCTGACCTTGAGATTTCACTTTTCATCAGGAAAATCCTTGACTGTCATTGGTTGCTGTATACTTTAGTGCGCTACTTTTGTGACTGTCTCAAAGACGTTTCTATGATGTATAAACGAACAAGAACTGTATGCTTAAATTCATTGTGCTTGCTGGGTGTTTGTAGAATATACTTTCTACGCTATATCAAGACTTCTCTTTAGCCGTTTTGAGTCAACGGATCAAGGTAGCCTACCTGGACGCTGGTTCATTGTCTCGTTCGCGTTTATCGACTAAGGTGAACCCGTAATAGTTTCAAGCATACTTAGTGACGAACTTAACAACCGGTCACGACTTCCCACTAGAACTCGGAGAAGATTCCTCATGGAACTAGTCACTAGTGAGCATAGGCAGTTGCATTACGAGGTTGTGAAGATTGTTAAGTTACACATTTTTGAAACCATGAATCGACCAATTTTATTATTCATGATCTAGATTTGTTAAAGTTATTTCTTTAACAATCAATAAAAGAGGGGGAAATAATAATGTCCCAGCTCAATATACATATCCTTTTTGTTCAAGTGAAAATTTTAATATTTCAAATAAAACGAATCAAGTAGGAGAATTTTAGTTCAGTTGAAATGGTTTTGAAATAATCCGTTTGATTTTTTCCTGTGATATTTATCCACATATTGATCCTATCTGAAGTAACACTGAAAATTAGAGAAGTTTGATAACTTCATCTTGTGATAGACACCTCCAAACTTATCACGTCTTATAGAGAACACCTGGCTATTAGAATCAGTAGTTTGGTATGCAAAGGTATAACTACAATTTCAACTAACTTTTAGTTTTATACAGCACAACGATTATTCAATACTATTGGAAGCATTTGTCTTACTTCGAACATGCCTAATATTTACAGGTTTCAATTTAGTCACTAGAGTTTTGAGAGTAAATTGAAGTTAATTAATATTAGTGGACTGAATGTTATAGTGTAGTTGAAGGGATTCTATGGGGATTCACCTAACTTACAGGTTTTATTCATCACTAGTTGAACTGAGTCTCTGATTGTACCTGTTGCGGAGGTCCTTTACAAGAGAACAAAATGTGACCAGTGGAGTTCCGCCGCTGTCGGGTGTAAGCAGTAACTACTGAAGACAAATGGGTGAGGTCGCACAAAACCTCTATATTGATCACAGTTAGACATTAACACCGTTGGATGCCGGCCCAGTAATCCAGAGGTTAGGCGTTCGCGTGCGAGACAGAAGGTCCCGGGTTTGAATCCTACTAGGTCCAGGAGTCGTAGATGCGCACTGTTGATGAATCTTATACCAGGACTTGACGGCCGTCCAGTGCTTCCAGGTTTCTAATGTGTAGAAAACGGATGTCCATTGCTTCCTGATTCTCATTGATATTCTAGATGAGATTAGTCTATGACGAATGTAGCCTGCAAACACTCGACTGTCTCAAAGGAAAAAACCGAAGATATTCTGAGAAATATAAAAATATTTCATGGTTTCATTGTATAAGTTTCTTATCGATGCTATTAATAACTTGAATGATGGATGAACAGTCGGGTAATTATATATACTGAAAGTACAAAATATACAGCTTCGATGTAAAATCATTTATGTAGAGAAAAAGTATGTGGACTGATTTTGTGTTATCTGTAAACATTATAACCACTTTCCATCTGTATGCAATGAATGTACTTTTATAGCGTTAGAAAGATTTATTTAAACTTATCAAAAGTCACATGAAAAATTAAACCGAAATTATGGGGTTATCATTTGAGAAACGCTGAAAGAAACTCAAAGATTCAAACAGTCAATCACTAGTGCCGTTCACTCCTATTAAGTGTGAAACAGTTATTAACTGAAGACAATAGAAGATGGTTGAGTAATATCACGAATCGATTTATTTTAGATATCAACATCGTTCGATGCTGTCTAAGTGGTCTGGAACTTAACGGTTCGAATGTAACGTTGGAAGTCTTAGGTTCGACTGCCGATGGTGGGGCTGTGTATGCTCAGTGCTGAAAAGTCGCGTAATAATAATACGAAACGTTAGTTTTCCTTTGATGATCTAACTATGATCGATTCGTAATTTAAAATCTACCAAAACTTCATAATCTCCACTAAACTATACACTGAGCCGTACATCAGTTGATCAGTTGATCATTGGTTTTTAATCGAGTAGACTGTTTCTATTGTTGTATGATATCTTGTAAGACAAACATTCACTTTCAGCATGGATTTCCTTGATTATTGCTTCATATACTACTAATCTTCAATAACAATGCAACAATATAATCTTTCTTATTTGTTTTCTATTGAAATCTCCTCATTTTCATCCACACAGATATCCATATTGTACACCGCGGATGGAAGTAGCATGGGCTCGTTTTGAGAAACAACCACCGAATAATTTACGTAAAAGCAATTTCTTTCATTTCATTATTGCTTTATATGATCAAAATAGGCATCCAATTGAAGTGGAACGTGCTGCATTTATTGATTTTGTCGAAAAAGATAAAGTAAGTTGTTGATTGTTATGATAATGATTAGTTTTGTAATTGAGATCATGAACTAATGTAGGAAACATTGAACTCTTTGGAGGGGGATCGAACTCCGAATCTATGTTTCACATGAGATTGATTAACCCGCTTGATATGCTCGCCAGTTGATGTGTTCGAATGCTATTACGAGTTCAACTTACTCGGTAAACGGAACGAAAGCTGTGACTCAGTGACATGTTTGTCCCAGCCCCGGTTAACTAAATCAAGAGCTGTTGATAATGTATTCTACAAGTACCCAGAAAAATATGAGGTTGCTAAGCGTACAAATCCAGCTTATTTGTACAATGACAGCAACGCCTTTGGTGAGAGCCTTAAAGCAGCGAACTAAAATAACCCGCCAACCGATGACATTCAAGGATTTTCGAGTGGGTAATGTAAGCTGTAGGTCAACTAAGCGTCTCTTGGCGCAGAAGCATAGAAATTCAAAATTTCAGAAATATATTACAAAATGAGGACCTTTCCCAAGTGAGTTCTGGTGATCAAACCTCCCCAACATTGAACCAGTTAGTATCCAATGCCGTATAAGTTTAATTTACAACAATCTCAAATGAAATATAATTTTGTGTCTATTCACAAACTTAGCATTCATTTGTTTTTGTCACGATATTTTTTTATTCAAAGTTCAATTTTTTTACTTGTACGGAATTAGATCACAGCATGATTTGAGCATAACATTTTTTTAGCGAAAGGCACACAAACACGTTGTTGTAAAATGAATAAAAATGTTAAAATTTTGATACACGCAATTAAATTCAATAAAAAAAGTAATCGAAATTATTTCTTTTATTCAATTGTGCATAAAAATAAGAAAATTAGAAAGTTTTTCCTAAATTGACTTTTCAATCAAGTTCTGCATGAGATGAAATGAAATGAAACAGAGTTTGGATAAATAATATGAACTGATAGGATGGAGTAATAAAAACGCAAGATCTTGTTTTACTTTACTCAGTATGATATTTTTGTAATAAACTTGGTTTGAACAATAATCAATATTAACATGAAACATGTATCTTGTAGAGAAATCTGTGTCAATTGATTTTTGGGTTTCCTCCATTTTGATTAATTATTGAACTTAACAGTCTTCATAAGTGTATGATGAAAATTATCATGTGATCACTAGTGACTAGCTTCGTGAGGAACTTCATGTGGAGTTCATGTGGAGTTCAACCCTGTTAGGTGTGAAGAAGTCATTCACCGAAAACAATGAATGAGGCCAAGTAAGATCGTGGATCGGTTGAAGTTAGACATAATGGTTTAGACGTTAAACGTTCACATACGAGACTGAAGGTCTTGGGTTTGATTTTAGGTTGCGGGAGTCATGCGTGTACATTGCTCATGTGTTCGATATCAGGGCCGTCTAGTGTTTCCAGGTTTCTAATGATGGTCTCACATTGGTCGATTCATGATATCAATGAGACTCAGCAATCTCCGCCACTCTATACTGATTCAGTTGAAAATAAGTGTATTTGATAAAAGTAATCACCATGTAATTTGTTTATGGGAGAGTTGTTGGATAAAATATACCTTTCCTATCAGTATTTCTGTTAAGGTCATCACTAGGTATACTCGAAACTATTACGGGTTCACCTTAGTCGATAAACGAGGACGAGATAATCAACCAGCGACACGGTAGGCTACTCTGATCAGCTGACTGACGAAGAAGTCTTGATATAGCATAGAAAGTATGTTCTACAAACACCCAGCAAGCACAATGCTTTCAAGCGCACAAATCTCGTTTGTTTATACATCATAGAAACGTCCTTGCGCTAGTCACAAAAATAACACACTAAAGTATACAGCAACCAATCACAGTTAAGGATTTTCCTGGTGCGAAGTGAGATCTCAAAGTCAACGAATCAGCCTATGCTCGTAGACATAAAATCCAAATTAAGGCATTTATCAAGTGAGTTCTGCGAATCTAACGCCCCCAACAGTTGCATTCCTTGAGCTGAAGTACAGAAAGAACACTGTACTCCAAGGTTAGCTTAAGTACAGGAAAATGAAGGATTTACAGAGTTATACGGCAACTTATGTTCCTGGAAATTTTGGGAGCCATATTGAATATTGTAGTGGTATGGTTAACTATCCAATTATCAGAATCGTGGCATATAATTCTACATTTTCTAGATGTCTCTGCGAAATTCATATTCAATGCTGATTTAAAAAAATGTTTCCTGATGTTTCTGTGCTTCTAGAGACGTTTACCGTTTCGTTCCAGTATGGGACTCATCAGAAATGCTCACTGAAGACAGTGGATGAGGATGCTGCACAAGACCGTGGATTGATCGAAGTTAGAGAAATAATACCGTTAGATGCTGGCTCAGTGGTCCAAAGGTTGGGCGTTTACACACAAGAATGAAGCCTTTGGGCTCGAATACTGCGAGTTGCAGGATATTCATTGCTGAAGAGTTTCGTACTAGAATGAAATGACCGTCCAATTCTTCTCGATTGTCAACGGTTGTCTGACTTAAATCGATTTCCTGATTTCAATCAAATTATTATTCTTGAATGTGGAAATATCATCAAGGTCATACTGTTTCGTACTCACATTATCATATTTTGGTGGAAACGTTTCTAAGAAGGAATTTAACTCTGATCAAGTTATTCACTTAATCTTTTGGTATTATTAAAGAAGATTGACAACACATCTTGTCTCACTTAGGTTGCTTATATCAATAAGTTGTTTCTGTAATTTTAAGAGAATTCATTCTCGTCATGGCATTTCAAGAAAAGTTAGCGTTTGAGATATTACTACCATTAATTAAGTAGTAATGAAAGAGAACAACAGTAATTAATCTCTTCTTCTTCTTCTTCTATCATTATTACAGGAACCAGAAGGTGAAAAAACCAATAATGGAATTCATTATCGAATACGTTTATTATTTGCTAATGGTATGTTTCATAGTTTCGTCAAAAACATCAATCATATTCTGTTTATTTTCAAATATTTGACACTGAATGTTTTCATGTTGTTTTCAGTCAGCACTTATGAATGAAAGTTAATGAGTAATTTATGAGTTTGTCATAGTTATACATTTTGATAATCAATACTTCAGATAGAAGTTTGTGCTGATGATGTTGTTCAGAAGAACAGTGAAAGCTCCACAACCACAGCTCAGAGAACGAAACACAACCACAGTCATCATCCACCTGAGCTACAAATTTTCTCCACTATCTCAAAATCATATGAGCGTCACGTGCTTCTAGTTGTTCGAAAATGGGGGAATTTCACCAAAAGGCAGGCTTTCAATCTACTTTCTCTACGAATACAAAGTTAGTTGATCACTTCACGTGATTAATTCAGATTATCATTCAAGGATATATTAGTATAAGCAATGGGATTTTGAGATTATGTGGAAAAATTCTTGAAGGCAACAGTTAAACATCAAGATTTTTAAAATCGTTATCTTAAGTTTGTCGTCGATTTCAATGGGGAATTCAGGTTCATGGGATTGAACTCAAAACCTTAGATCTTTTGAGAGGCGCGATATATATTTAAACTATAATGTTAAATATCAGTAGTTCGTCTCTTCGACTTCCATTAGTTTGTAGAATAAAAGCGACCTCAAACATCAACATTTCTTCAAAATCCTATTCAAGTAAACTAAATGATTTGTAATTCAAGTGATATGTTATGAGTATTAATATTTTAAATTAATTCATCCAAGTTTAACCTACTACTTCCAACGTAGAACTGCTGACAGAAATATATGATATTGTTTCGTTGATCTAATGAATCGTTCATTGTTGGAATACGATTAGAAACCTGAAAGCATTGGACGGTCGTTTCGTTCTGGTATGAGAATCATAAGCTGTGGTCACTAGTAATTAGCTTCGTGAGGAAATTGTCGGAGCTCTAATGAGAAGCTGTGACCATTGGAATAGAACCGTGTTGGGTGTGAGGCAGTTACTTAGAGAAGACAAATGGGTGAGGTCGTGCAAAATTCATGGATTGATCAGAGTTATATGATAACAACGTCGGATGCCGGCCAGCTCAGCGGTTCACAGGTTAAGGGTTCGCGCAAGAGACCAAAGGTCTTAGGTTCGAATCCTAGGAATAGCAAGAGTCATGGATGCGCCCTGCCATTGACGAGTCTCATACAAGGACGAAACGGCTGTCCAGTGCTTACGCGTTTCTAATGGTAGTCCAACAGTGATTGATTCCTGATTTTAATCTGTAAAAACAGCAATCTCCATAACTCTATAATAAAAAAAATCAAAATAAAGAAATGACAACAATAATTTAGCACATTTGATTACTTCCAGTTTCATCCAATGACAAATCGTCTTTTAAAATGCTACTAGAGTACCCAGAACTAAGTAGATGAACTGAGTTTTCAGACTAGCCATCCAGTCAGTAACAATTGATAAACTAGAATTCACTACACCCACAACTACTTACTTACTTACTTACTTACTTATGCACGTACTTACACACCTTACTTACTTACTTACTTACTTGCTTACTTACTTACTTAATTATGCACTTACTTACTTACTTACTTATGCACTTACTTACTTATGCACTTACTTACTTACTTCTTACTTACTTACTTACTTACTTACGTACTTACTTACTTACTTACTTACTTACTTACTTACTTACCTACTTCGCCACTTACTTACTTATGCACTTACTTACTTACTTCTTACTTACTTACTTACTTACTTACTTACTTACTTACTTACTTACTTACTTACTTACTTACTTACTTACTTACTTATGCACTTACTTATGCACTTACAACTGTTACTCGCAATGGAGCATAAGCCGCCGACCAATATTCTCCAACCTACTCTGTCCTGCACCTCCCTTTCCAATTCTACTCAAGTTATGCTCAATCTTCTCATATCGAACATACTCTGTGTGTGTGTAAATCAAAGTAGACAAGATGATAATTTTATCATAAACAGGATACAATGAATTGTGTGCATTGATAAATATTTTGTATAATAGTCATTATTTATAGCAAAGAATTTTTTGCTATTTTTATAGCAAAAAATCTCATAAACACAATACGCATATATTCAAACGAAAATCAATTTCTTTTGTAATCATAATGGATTTAATTTGAATATAATACCATAAGTATTAAGGATAAATAAAAACGGTTACAAGTAAGAGTTTGCGTTAATCATGAATAAGACGACACGTGTGTTATATGGAGTTTTTATTAAGTAAGTAAGTAAGTAAGTAAGTAGCAATAAGTAGTATGTAGGAATGTAGGAAATAAACACAGACGATTATCCTATTCATCCATGTTCATTCATTGCACCAGAGTAAGTTATGAAATCATTCGAGTTAGGCTAATTATTTATATATGTATGTGTGTGTGTGTGTCTGTGAGCTTATAAGATTGTCAAAAATGTCAGTCAGTCAGTCAGTGAAAGTGGTTTTTCTGTCATTCATTTTGGTTTTCTTTGTAAACAAAACTGAATGACTCTTTAATAAAAGTCAGTTAAGAAATTATTATTATTAATTACACTGTTCGGATTATTTAATGACTGCTTCAATATTCAAGTCAAATATACCGACAAGAGTAGGTTAGTACACGTGTCTTAATTCAAGTAAATATGAAAATGAGAAGAATATGATGTGAAAATAAAAATCAAGTTGAAATCTATGAAAAGAAATAATATTTGCCTGTCTTATGAGAATGAGTTGTCAGAGTCAGTTAGTTAGTTAGCTGTAATGTAGAAATTGGTTCATGTTGTCATACGTTATTGGCATAAGGAGGCGGGAGTTTTAGTTGAAATCTTATAGCAGCGGAGGCTGAAGCCAGTTTCAGCAGTAATGGATAAGTCCAGCTATCAGTGACATCATGGACTGGTGCTATGTTTTGGTTTGGCTGCCTCTAGCTTCCTTCAAGCTAAACCATACATCAGAGAACACCGAGGCAGTTGATGGTTGGATGTATGTAACATATGTCCCAACCACCTTAGTTAACGAAGATTCACTACTCCACCAATTGACTTGCCATTCTTACGTAGTAGTCTGTTTCCTAATCCAGTATTGCTTAATCGGTGGTCCCAGGAGATTCAAGCAATGTTTCAAAGACATCTACGATCGAATACTAATAACGGATGAATGTCCTCTACTCTTAGTGGCTATATTTCACATCTGCAAAAGAAAACGAAGCAGACTGCTGCTCAGTGAACTCTTCGTTTGATTAGTAGACATATATCTTGCCTATGTCATAAGTGACGAGAGTTAGAAAAAAGCCAGTCGAACTTTTTTATCCGTACCGAAATTTCATTTCAGTGAGAGCGCCTCATGTGAATCAATAACAAATTGGCCAAAACCAAAATAACGTCAACAGAAGAGCTTCTAAAATGATGGACATCAGTGGGAAGTTGATTCAGCAATGAAGCAATCCCGACTTCGGTAAAGATAAGAACCAGCTTTTTCCAATAGCACATAATTGACCTCCTATAGCATTGAGGTGAATACACTGATCGTCTATTAACCAAAAATCGAGGTTAACTTGTCTGGTCCTTTATGCTAACCAGATTTCATCGATCTAGTTTGCTGTATATTCATTAAACCGAATGAAATAATGTCAGCCTCCCTTCGTTTGCCTCTAACGTAGAACTTGGTACGTACGTACATCAGTTCAAGTTGTCAAACAACATCAGCAGAGACTCACAACTGTCAATTCAAATCCCACAGTAGTATAAGTAGTAGAAGTATTAGCAGTAATCGGACAGATTAGGGTTCGAAGCTACTATTCAAGAAGTAGAATCTAGTGAAATAAACTTAAAACGAAGAAGATAAATGTGATGCGGAATTCAGAAGGTTAGGATTTGATAGAATACAAAGAATGAATGCACCTGAGCCATTGCAAACAGCTTTGAGCCATGTCATTCAGGGTCTCCAAACATCGATTACTAACATCTCGTGGGCCCCCAACCAGGTAGTCAACACTTACCAACATGACTTGATCCAGTTGTCAGTGACTTGATGGATTTGTGCTATGTCTTGGTTTGGCCGCTGCTAGCTTTCTTCCAACTTATTCCTATATGGCGAAACACAGCTCGACGAGGCAGGCCAAGTCAATTATTCTGATGATATCACAGAATCTTTGCTCTATTGAATTCGACCAACAAAAAGGCACTAGACGGGGAGCACAATACGATTTACATTCTATTCAGTTATTAATTTCTTGTTAAATGTGGATGTTTCGAATCCTTTTTTAGTAATAATGTCTTTCACATAAAGTAAGATGTGATGATACTGTCAGGAACAACAAACGAAGTTCTACAATTAAACTTTGTAGCTCACAGAAATCCACAACACCGACGACATTTATCAAAACTGTGAAATTCACAGTATCATTTCATTATAACAATTTTCTCTAAAAATTTTGATAATTCTAAATAAATTTAACCGTTTTTCTTTTTTTAAAAAAAATAAATTTTTATTTCAGGTGTTCAACAAGATCAAGATTTATACATTCGATTGGTGGATTCATCGACAAAGCAGGTAAATCAATAAATCAATGACAGATAACCTTCAGTGGTATTCTTCGTTGATATATATTTCTGTTACTTTTTTGGAGGTAAAGCCTGGTTATATAACAGCTACTACTACTACTACTACTACTACTACTACTACTACTACTACTACTACTACTACTACTACTACTACTACTACTACTACTACTACTACTACTACTACTACTACTACTACTACTACTACTACTACTACTACTACTACTACTACTACTATGGTGTATACTACTTGCAACAGAGCTTATAAGTAGTAAGCAGTGTGTGTGCAACAGAGTATCTCCCTGAAGTTATGGACAATAAGAAGAGTGTTGCACTCGGATGCATGATGAAATCAGTATGTTTTGAAGAGTGGAAGACATTTAAAAGATGAAAGTCAAGGATACGCTTGTTTTACAAATGGATGTTTTATGATAAGGCGTATACTTTTTGTGGCTTTCATCATCATTCAACATACTACTATTGATACTTACTAGTCTTCAAAACGAATTAACGCTCATTGTTTAGTTCATCGCATTAGTCTTTTGGATTTAGCTGAAAAATTCAAGCATTTGATCTGAATTAATTTTTTCGACTTTGATGAAGTTTATGTAATGAAATTAGTTTGTTTATATATTTTAGTGAAACACAAAACCGTACTAGTTAAGATATGTTTTCTGTTATTTGTCTAATGATCTCCAACATTAATCAGCAGCATTTAACTTACTGTTTATTTAATAATTGATCATTGAACTTGTTAAATTATCAATCATTCAAATGATAAACTTTAACCTCGCATTGATCAATATTTAATGAACTTGATGAGAAATTCTTGATCGAACTTTTTGATCATCGAATTTATCTTGTCATTTTATATTATACAAGAAAAATATAATATTAGGTTACACATTTTTGAAACCATGAATCGATCAATGTTAGACCACCATTAGAAACCTGGAATTGATCAAGTTAGACATTAACATCGTTAGATACTGGCTCAGTGGTCCGATGGTTAGGCGTTCGCCTACAATACCGAAGGTCTTGGGTTCGAATCCTGCGGGGTACAGGAGTCGTGAATGCGCACTGATGATAAGTCCCATACCAGGACGAAACGGCCGTCCAGTGCTTCAAAGTTTCTAATGGTGGTCTAACATTGGTCAATTGATGGTTTCAAAAATGTATAACTTAACAATCTTCACAACCCCGTAATGCATAATATTAGGTTGGCAAGTGATTGAATCATTTTAGGCGTTGTACATGACGATTTCTTGTCTGATTGAATTATTTACAAATCATTGACTAGAGATATGGATAATTGCCTTTAACTGCTTGAATATCAAAACATAATCGATACGATCTGGAGTCATTTAGACTAATCAATAGAAATCCATTTAGTACACTGAAGAGCTATATAAACCAAAGAGAATTACTGGATATGTTTGATCGTAGTTGAGAATCAGTCAGTTGCAACGTAGAACTTCGTAAGTATGTACATAAGTTCATGTTGCCATACCACATTAGCACAAAGACGCAGATGTAAAATCAAATCCCATAATGATAAAGATAGTATAGGTATTAATGGTCATGAAGAAGACTAGGGTTCGAAGATATTATTCAAGAAGTATAATTCAGTGAGATAAAGTTAGAAAGACAAAGGTAGAAGTGCTGACGAATCCAGAAGATTGGGATTTGAGAGAGCCCAAAGACTGGATGCACTTGCGCCATTGAAAACGTTCAAGGTCTCTAACCATTGGTGACTTTCGTCTCGCGGACCCCAACCAGGTAGTCTACATCTACCAACATGACTCAGTCCACTTGTCAGTGACTTCATGGATTTCTGCCATGTTTTGGTCTGGCCGCCCCTAGCTTTCTTCCAACCTACTCCTACACCACAAAACATAGCTCGTCGAGGCAGTCGGTGGTTAGGCATACATAACACATGTCCCAACCACCTCAACTGATGAAGTTTCACCACTTCATCGATTGATCTGCCATCCTTACCTAGAACTCGTTTCCTAACGACAGCATTGCTTACTCGTTTGTCCCACGATATACGAGCAATGCTTCTTAAACATCTATGATTGAATACTAGTAGTCTACGAACATCTTCTACTCTTACTGGCCATGTTTCGCAGCCATATAGGAGAACGGAGCGAACTGCTGCGCAGTACACCCGCCCTTTGGTTAGCGAACGGACATCACGCCTACTCCATAAGTGACGCAACTTGGCAAAAGCCAATCGAGCTTTCTGTATCCGAGCTGAGATTTCGTCAGTCACCGGGCCATCAGCACTGATGAGACTCCCAAGATAAGTGAAGTGATCAACACACTCGACTACTTCACCCCCTATCACTAGTTCAGGTGCCTATGCAACCCAGTCTTGAAGCAACATTTTGCATTTCGAGAATAATCTAATAGTATGCATACATAGAATTAATTGCATAAGCTTTATTACAGAGAATAATCATAATAATCTTAGTGAATGCAATTTTAAATAGAGCATTGGGTTGAAATTTATTACTGTAGAACTAACTGCCAATGATTCACTAACAACCAATCAAGATTGAGGTCGGCATGGACAAGCTACAAGTCATACGTTGCAAAAATTCGAATACTTCACCTGAAGTTTTGTGCTGATGATGTTGTTCAGAAGAACAATTAAAACTCCACAACCAGAAGAACATCCAGCTCACAGAACGAAACTCCATCATAGTTGTAACACACATCTACCAATCGACATCAGTCAGTCCATCATGTGATTTAAGTGTAACATTCTGTGAGGTAAATTATCGGCTTCTTCATAATTTACCAGAATCAAAGTTTTCTTCTGGTGTGCCTTGATATACCGTACAAAGATGTGAAATTAATTTCCTCTCTAATCGTCTGTAATATGAAATAATAGCTTGAGAAAGAGTAATTACGTAGTATAGCCAATGCGTTCATACAGTAGGTTATGGGATTCATCAATGTATCAAATACAATTCTGTTCATATCAAAGGAAAATTTCAATGTTAATCTGATTGTACATAGACCAAACAAAATTGTAGTATTGTAGTGAAGGAGTATACAGGTGAGAGCAATCGAATTGTATTTAACGAAAATTACAGAGTTACTCAGTAAAATAGGAAAACCATATCGTAAACGGTTAAAATTTGCAAATCTTCAATCCATCATCAATCCATTGTCTGACATTTCACTATTCCTGCGTTTCATACAAATTCCTTTCTTGATCTTCCCCCATCTTCTGCTGCCAGACATTACGTTTACACTCGCGTCATATACTACTTATAAGTAGCGCGCACCACAGTATCTTCAAATATCAATGATAAATCTTGTATCATTAGTCTTTGTGCTCTTGTCCCCTATCGATCGATTTGTGATTTTAATACTGAGCATGAGTTAATTTAATTGTTTTTTTTGTATTTCTCTTTAAAGCCTATTGCCTATGAAGGACAAGATAAAAATCCTGAAATGTGTCGAGTACTACTTACACATGAAGTTATGTGTAGTCGATGTTGTGAAAGAAAAAGTTGTGGTAATCGTAATGAAACACCATCAGATCCTGTCATTTTAGATAGGTAAGTATGTGTACATATTTCATGGTTGTTGTTAAAAGTAATGCTCAGCTAGGAAGATCATTCTTAATAACCTTAAATTAATGACAAACCATTCAGCAATTGATAATAAATAAAATCCTATCGAATCCGATACATACTATTTATTACAACTGATAAAATAACTATTAATGTGCAAGCAAGATATACTTACTTACTTACTTACTTACTTACTTACTTGCTTACTTGCTTACTTACTTACTTACTTACTTACTTACTTACTTACTTACTTACTTACTTACCTACTTCGCCACTTACTTACTTACTTACTTACTTACTTACTTACTTACTTACTTGCTTACTTACTTACTTACTCACTTACTTACTTACTTACTTACTTCGCCACTTACTTACTTACTTACTTACTTACTTACTTACTTACTTACTTACTTACTTACTTACTTACTTACTTACCTACTTCGCCACTTACTTACTTACACACCTTACTTACTTACTTACTTACTTACTTACTTACTTACTTACTTACTTACTTACTTACTTACTTACTTACTTACTCACTTACTTACTTACTTACTTACTTACTTACTTACTTACTTACTTACTTACACACCTTACTTACTTACTTACTTACTTACTTACTTACTTACTTACTTACTTACTTACTTACTTACTTACTTACTTACTTACCTACTTCGCCACTTACTTACTTACTTACTTACTTACTTACTTACTTACTCCTCTTACCCCGATGGAGCATAGGCTGCCCACTAGTGTTCTCGAACCTACTCTGTCCTTTTCCCCTCTTTCCAGTTCTGTCCAATTTTTATGTGCATTCTTCTCATGTGTGTCTCTCTGTTTCTCGGCCTTCCTCTTTTCCTTTGATCTTGAGGATTCCAAATTAGGGCTTGTCTTGTGACGAAGTCCACTTCCAGCACTTCTTCCTAATTTCCTCCTTCGCTGGAATCTGGTTTGTTCTGTCCCAAGCAAGATGTGATTAATGTTACTCGGTATTGATTTTTTGTCAACCCATAGTTGAGATACGACATCCCAGTGAACGAATATCGAAAAGTCAAATCAATCCAATGGTAGAATTGTTTCTATTCATTTCTGGGTAGTCCCATAGGAAAACAATGATAAAATTTATGACATATTTAAGTTACTGGTAAAAAACATGGTCTGAGTAATAATTCAGTTAAAATTCTTTGAATCGTGTTAATGAGTGTATAATCTACTTTAATATATCTTAAGTAATATGAGGTCATCATGTGAAGAAAAATAAGAAATTACTAATGACATTGATATATTGTCATGGCTTAACTTCATTTAGACTTCTTGTATGCTAATAGGGAAATTTCAATGCCTTAAGTTTGATCCTACTCAGAGTGGCCTACTTTCGCTGGTTTTACCAATCCACCTAGATGATGATGATTATATCATTCAGTAACGTAGATCATTTAACAGTTAAAGTAATCTTAACAAAAACTTTCCTATCAAATAATCCCTGTAAAACTCACTAATGTAGTTTTATTGTACTGAATACAACTCCATCGATCAGATGACCATGCAGTTATTAGTTTCAACAACTTGGTATTGTATACACTATGTTTTAACAGTAAAGCCTTGATGATTGTAGTCAGAGACCCTAGATATATGTATCATATCAGTTGGTACTCGTTAATAAGGTGTACCTGTATTCTTAAAGGAAAATAATTACGGTCATTCAGCTGTACAGTGGAAAATTCTATCGCTGAACTGTTTGGGACATAACTGAGTTTCTATAAGACTGTGATGTTAAACACTAATCAAACACTAAATTTTTTACACCTAGCGTGTTTATCTCATTGGATTTCACAAAGAATATCACTTCCGCACAAATTCACAGTTATGCCAAACTGATAGGAATCATCAGTCAATAATTGCTAGATAACACTCAGAAACCTGTAGGTGCTAGAAGGCAGTTTCACTCTAGTATGCAAATTATCAGTAGTGTGTATCCGCTACTCGAAGGATCCGAACCCACAACCTTCGGTCTCATGCGTGACCGCTCAAGCTCTGGACCACTGAGCTGGCCGGTATACAACGGTGTTAATGTCTAACTGTGATCAATCTAATGATTTTGAACAACCTCACCCATTTGTTTTTGGTAGTTACTGCCCACACTCGAACAGAGTTGAACTCCGCTGGTCATGGCTTCTCACTAGAACTCTGAGAATTTCCTCACAAAGCTAATCACTACTGAGCACACTGTACGATTGTTTCAATTACAGTTATGGAGATCATTGTTTTTACAGACCACCATTATAAACCTGGAGTTATTGTCAACCGTTTAATCCTGGTATGAGATTCATCAGCAGTACGCATCCAGTACTCCTACTACTTGCAGGATTCGAACCCACGACCTGTCTTGAGCACGAACGCCTAATCTAACAATAATTGAACACTGATCTCCATAATTCTAATTGAAAGAAACTGATAGAAACCAACTCACTCAAATCTTAGGCGTAGAGTTTCCTATAGAAAACTTCCAACCATCTAACAAATATTATCCATCATGTTCATAGATACTTTCTTTAATCAATGACTTCCATTTTCACTAAATTAAATTTCAAAAGAAAAATGATTCCAAAAATATTTTTTTTAGAAAATAAAAAAACAAAATGTCAAGTCTCATTATTTCTTCGGTTTGCAACATACTACTCTTTTTTCTATCTGTATGCCATTCCTAAATAAGTAACGTGTATGCGCACACAATCCGAAGTGAATAGACACACATACACACCTTGTGAATAACCGTAAGTAGTAAGTAATCCCATTGAACTCATCTCATTTTAGAACATTTTGATTCACTGATTAACTGGTTTTCATATTCAATGATGCACTGATGCACTGACGTAACATACTTTTATTACTCTCCTAACATACATACAGACATACACATACACACACACCTGCTCTAATGTCAATAACTGATAAATATTCAGTGAAAGTTGTGTTGTCTGTTTATTTGTCTGTCTGTCAGTCTATCTGTTTGTCTATCGGACTATAACTTCCTACTTACATTTTCTATTCTCTCAATAATTTTATATAATACATATGTCAAATAACACTTCAATTTTTTCAAATGTTAATTATATTCGACAGATTTTATATCATTCTGTATATTATAAAAGATAAACAAAATTTCTTAATTAATAATATGATGACTGGAATATAAAAGGCATGCAGGAAAACGTGAAACAACAATGAATCCAAATGGTTAATGCGAAAGTTGGAATTTATATTGAAGAAAAAAGTAATTCTTCAATTAGGCAGTTATGAAGATGAATGTTTTTATAGATTATTAATGATGAATCAATCATTGTTAGATCAGCATTAGGAATTTCGAAGTACTGAAGAGGTGTTTCGTTCTGACATGGGGGGGACTCATCAGTGGTAGTGTGCATTCTGCATATCAGAGGATTCGAACCCAGGACTTTCGATCTTTTGCTCGAAAGCCTAACTTCTGGACCATGATCTCTGTAACTGTAATTGAAAGAATCGTACAATGTGCGCAATAATGACTAGTTTTGTGACGAAATTCTCAGAGTTCTAGTGAGGAGACGTGATCAGTGAATTACAACCCTGTCGGGTGTAGGCGGTAATTACCAAAGACAAATGGGTGAGGTTGCGCAAAATCGTTAGATCGATCGGAGTTAGACACTAACACTGTTTGGTGCCGGTCAGCTCAATGGTCAAGAGGTTAAGCGTTCGCGTGAAAGACCGAAGTTCCTAGGCTCGAACCTTGCGAGTAGCAAGAGTCGTGAAGCTCACTTCAAATAAGTCCCGTAACAGGACGAAACGACCGACCAGTGATAGGAGGTTTCTAACCATCATTCATTCATGATTTCAATGTGTGTAAATATTATTCCCTGAAGGTAATGTTATTTATCAACTGACTGAAGATTCGTTATTTGCTTTGTTCTAGTAAGTTTAGGGATTCACATCACATAAATGAACATGATCATCTCATTCAATGCTTCTAGTTGTGGTGAATTCCTATTTCAATTAGCCTTCTTTTAGGTGATTAGAGGCAGTCTCCTCTACCAAGGTTTCGATACTTACTATTTATCAGCTAGAAATGTCTTCAGTTTTTCTGAAGGCGGCAGTAGTTTAAACCAAAGTGACAGCTTCATAGGCTGAAATATTACCACTGAACTATTTAGGTTTTAACTGACCTCTTGTAAGGTTAACATAATGACCGCTGAATCGTGATGCGCAGTCCTCTAGTGCGGATCATATTCTTCCTGTCGAGTTTGAATAAAGCTCCGCGTTTTAAGTGATTGAACCTCAAGTGCATGGTGTTTTGCTGTTAGCTGGTTGACGGCAGTTAAGTCTTAGGAGCAAAGATACTCTCTGGTACATTAGAACTCTTGTCATTTAGCTTTACTGCTGCAGATTGAGTGGTAGAATCCAGTCAGCGTTAAGGAGTGGACAAATATGAAATCAGAGGTTATTTGATCGTTAATCCATATAAGTATTTTCGTCCATAAAATCTTTCACTTTCCTTTAATAAATCCAATTTCTTACTAAATCAATATGAAATAGGGAACTCATTAGAAATTGATATGTACTGATTGCAAACATGTAAAATTTTGGTAGAGATTTTGTAGCTCAGCTCGTTAAAATTGCATTCTCTCAACTTTGAATTAGATTTAATGGGTAAATATTTCATTGTTCTTCTTCTTCCTCCGCTAAACAACATTATCAACCTAACAATGCACATTCACAACTCTCCACTACGAGAAGTCGAACCCAGAAGCTTCGATTCCTCACGTAGACGCCTAACCTCTTGACCACCGAGTTGTGATTAGCTTCAACCTCCCCTATCAATAATATGACGGTTCATGTCTTCTTGCTAATTTAAGTTTTCAACTTACTTACTTTACTTACTTACGCCTGTTACCCCCAATGGAGAATAGGCCGCCCACCAGTTTTCGCCAACCAACTCTGTCCTGGGCTTCCCT